GCAAATCCGGATTCCGTCGCTGCTTCTGCAATGCAGCGACGGTCCCATGCCCATGAACAGCCGTTTCATGTGCGCCGTCAATGAGCACTTCCCGTCGGTCACGGAGGACATGCTGGCAAAGGTCACGGCTGTGCATGCACGCTGGGTGCGCAACCTACCCTATCCCGCGGACTGGCAGAGCATTCGCGATTATCTTGCAGTGTACGCCAACGAGAGCACGTGCATCCATTACTTTTTTTTATGTTATGTTTCTTATGTTGCCCGTATATTTCTGATGTTCGTATTTGGTCTGGCATTCACAATGCCATTTCTTGATCCTTCTCCCCTGTTTTGCAGGTTCAGCGGCTTCAATGCCGACGGCAGCCCGCGATTATGGCAGGATGTGGACTTGCGGCTGCTGGATGTGTCCACACTGAGCAAACTCGCCATATATGCTATCAACGAAGTATTCGTTGTGTGAATCACCCAACAACCTTAGATCGAAGGGATAAATTCCGGACGTACTCGAAGTAAACAGGAACTAAACGCGCAGTTTTATTCTAACTACACCGGCACTGTATTTCAGTCGTTTGATCTTTATAAGTAATGAATGCGATATGGTTCTTGTGATCCTGGCTCGTTTGTATCCGGGTCTGTTTTATCCCCGGACCCCAGCTAATACTAAACCTGTTTCTTGACCTTTCTCGTTTTCATCTTTTGTTTTCTGCTCGTTCTTTTCTTATTACTCGTATATGCCACTTCGTCAAAATCATATATTGATGTCTGCCTGTAATCTTTGCGTAAGCTGTTGTAAGCGGTTTTCAGATTCTTTTTATGGAAACAGTACGGTCCGTAAAATTCTGAAAAAAACACCAACCATATAAAAATTATACTGGGAGCGACGCCGGCACAAAATTTCAATCAACTGAGCAGGCGAAAGACGTTCCCATGATTTTTTACGTCAGCGATTGTCGCTTGAAATTCAGCGAGGCAACGCGACATCGGTTTTGGGAACAATGGAAGGAGGAGAAAAGTTTAATGAAATTTTGATGTTGAAAAAATGCGATGTTTTCCGTTATTGTATAATTGTTGTACCTCAGGTACATAAAGAGAAAGACTGAGCAGCGGATGTAGATTCCCGAAAGCCTAGGTCTGAGGCTACAACGCGCTAGTCGAGCGTGTGGTTCTCCTGTCTGACTCTGCATGAGGGAGGGGGGGGGGGGAACACTTGGCTGAATAAGGATATTTCAACCAGGCAACTGCTGACCGTTCTGAAATGTGCACTTGCATACAACGCAAAGCGTTACTCCACCCCATGCCATGTCCATCCAGGGAAGAGTGGTTGCTTTAAAGCTTTGCCGCGCCGCCTAATATAACGACTACCAAATACTTACTATAGTTATCAACGTATTAATTTTTCGAAGCACATAACTCACGTACAGTACAGTACATACTTCAGAACATTAATACGTAAATGCGGCTTTCTGTAGCTTTTGTGACAGCTATTATTCGTCTTCTGGGTAGAATGAGCAACCGCCCTTGCTGGCGCGATCCAACTGTTCTTTCGAATTTCTGTATTCGCTGGCGTAGCATCGTGTACGAGGCAGTACTAGCAGTAGGACGACACAACGGCTGGCACAACTTTACTTGGTATCTCAACATGAGCGCGAGCACTTATAGCATTGAAAATTGTCTTTCATATTTTCATGACGAGTTTCAAAATTTGCTTGGTGTAACAAGAAAGAGCAATCTTTCCTCTACTTCAGCCTAGAAGCTAACGAAATCCCAAACAGACAGACGATTTCTCAGAAACTCGGTGTAGGGGGCGCGTTCTACTATTCGGGAGCCGAAGCTATATTCGAGCTTCAAAGGAAGCCAGAATATGTAAAGTGTCGGAGTACTTACAGTTACAGCAAGTTCATGCAATTTCCGAAATATAGCTAGTTCTTTCAACTACTGTATATAAGGAAATCGTAGGTTTCTTATGTCGCAATGGACCTGACTTGGAGAGCAGTGCAGAAGTATCAGACGGTGTTGACGGATGTCAACCAGACCAGAACTTCTAGACCGCATACCGACCAGGCTGTTGTTGGTGGGATTCCGCGACCAGATGGTCAATTCCCGACACGGGAGCGTGGCGGGGCAGGAGGAGCAGCGACTGCAGCACACGGCACCACTGGTGCCGTTGCTGTACCAGCGCAACTGCCGCTTCGTGGCGCTGTACAACTGGACCGTGTCGCTCCTGTTTGGATTCGCAGCGTACGAAGTGTTTCACGGCGCGGATTTTGTCGTCCGTCGCCTGCCGGAACACGAGCAGAAGTTGACGAAACACCTGACAGCGAGGTCGCCTGCCCTGTGCTTTGACCAGATGTCCATCCGCATTCCGCGGCTGCTTCTGCGTTGTAGTGACGGCACGATGCTCGTGACCAGTCGCTACATGTGCGCCCTCAATGAACACTGCCCGCCAATCACCGAGGAAATGCTGGCAAAGGTCACGGCGTTGCATGGGCGTTGGGTGCGCAGTCTGGGCTATCCGGATGACTGGCAGACCACCCGCCGGTATCTTTTCGCGTATGCACAAACTTGTCCCGTAATTTCTAACGCATTAACACAGCGACAAATACTTAGTCAGGGTTATTGCATACTACGCCGCGCCACGCAATAGCACAGATGATTGTATCTCTACAATTGTTCTGTGATGCTCAAAAATTGCAGTAAAAACGATTACTAATTAGTTCGCACATTATTTGTCTTTGGTTTTAGGTTCGCAGATTATTGGTGGGGATTTCTTTGTTGCAGCATTGATTAGAAAGAAAGCCAGAAATAACTGGATGAATTATATAATTAGCGCGTATTAATTACATTTTGATTTGTGTGCCCGTGTAGAAAACCGGAATCGAGGCTGGATAGCTTCGTTTAATTATGTTTTAGGAGAAAACAATGAGCGTGAATGCTGTACATGTACAGTACATACATTGTACAGTAAGCACTCTGAACAGTACAATTGTACATACATTAGTTTGTTTCGCATTAAAGGAGTCATAAAACTCATAACTACATCGGGCCAATGTCAAAACGACGGCGGAATTTTCTGCCGGCGGAAATTTATTGTGATCAAAACGACTGCGGAATTTTTTGCCGGCGGAAATTTTGCGTGGTCAAACTGCCGGCGGAATTTCCTCAACATGCACTTGTTACGGAAATCGCGAATTGATACAGAACCAACTTATTGGTAAACTAATTCATACAGTAAATACAAGCTGGACATTCTATGTATTATGTATCCATGTATTTTGTCAAACAAACTTCTGCTACTGCTAGTTTCAAAATAAATATGCTCCATCGTTCGGCAGATAAACAGTCAAAAATAACAAACGAGAGCTACAGCTTTAAAAAGTTGAAAAATTACAAAAAAGCACAAGCAAACAAAAAACACAATGACAGTTAACAACTTACGTACGTGCTCGAATACCAATCAGGTAATCCGCCGGCAGTTTGACCACGAGATCTCTACGCGTAGATGTAGAGATTCCTCGTCTGGGTTGACTGTACCAGTTTATATTCAGAGAAGTTGTGAGTCTTCCCAGGAAAGGCGCCAAAGGGATCAGACTAGATCACACGTCAGTGTCTTCGCCGCAGTGCCATTGTCAAATACCTTGTTTGTCTCTTTTGCGCGGCTCAGGTATTCTCTTGAACTTGTTCGCGCGTTCTGTGCAAACTGCCGGCGCAACAACAAGGCTGGCATTGAAAACGGGACTCTCGGATCTATCATCTATGTAAGATACATTTTTCTTGCAAAATTGTTTCAGAATATGCACAATAAATGAAATTAAAAGTTACGAAAATTCCGCCGGCAGTTTGACCACGAGAATTTCCGCCGACGTTTTGACCACACAAAATTTCCGCCGGCAGAAAATTCCGCCGTCGTTTTGGCATTGGCCCCCACTGGCCAAAATGCTTCTGCACATGTACATCAAAACATAGATTACGTAAATGCTATTACGAATTGGGAGCGGTGTCTTGGATTAACGACTGTAAATCACGTACGAAGAATGCAGGCGTCATAAATTACCTATAATTATTCTGATGCTAACGATTTCAGACCTTGGCATATACTAAGTGCATGCGCATATGCCGTAATGCCGGAGATGTTGTAATATGTGGGTAACCATTCCGTGACGGATAATTTTCGCTCTATTTGCAAACCGCATTTCGAGTTTCATGAACTGCTTATTATTTATGGTCGGAACTGACTATCTGGCAGACCGGCCATATGCACCCATAACTATGCAAATGTACAGTGTATATAGTACGTGAATAATCTATTTCAAAACAAATGCCCTGATTATGCCCACACAGGTAAATCGCTTTATTATCGCTTGTAGCTGTTTATTTACAATACCAGCTTGGTGGCGCAAATCATTTCGGAAATACGCGGAGAACAATTATAGCCTTCCGTGAAACTTCCCGGATAACACTGGAATCTTTTTTCATTGGGAAACGAAAATCGTCCTAGTCTCCGCAAATATGGTTTCGAAAGTGCCAAATCAACGGACAGTAGGAGCAGAAAACAAGGACAAGGTAAAAATAATAAAAATAATCTTTTTCTAAATTTCCTGCATGCAGCCGCTGTTGCGCAACATTTTCTGTACATAAACTGTACAGCAATGCAATGCTTGGCTCCACGGTGGAGCCTCCACCTATACAACTTTAGCTGTGGTTCGTATTACTGTATATTTCCATGACCTAATTGATTTAGTAGTTTTTTTTAAATCTGCATTAAAAAAGCATGGGGCAAGTTGTTTTTTATATTATACAATTTTGACGTACATAAATAGATAAAATATCAGTTCCATTGTCAGTTTGTGGGTATTTAATACTGCGGATTTTCCTCTCTGTTGTTTAAAAATTAATATGCAACAATTTATTCACTTTCGACATATTCTGCATCTTTCGAGTTTTGAAATACATACTGTTTCATCCCGCGGGGTGCGCTGAAGCTCTAGGTCTAAATTAGGTGATCATGGTGACTCGGCCTGCTGTGTTTGTAATTGTTTGCTTAACATCAACATCCGTGCGAAGCTTTTTACAAGAAGTATATGAAAACTTAAGCTGCACTTCCGGTACTTATAAAGCAGGCTCAGGGTAACGTGTATCAATGAGAGCAGACGTATACTTAAATAAATGAACATCTATCAGTGGGCATACAACATTATGCTATCAACTAAAATTTCTGGGTAGCGGACCAGTTTCAGGATAAATATTATGCAATAATAATTCATATCAATGCATACTGTTAGCCTGAAACTGGCGCGGGGGGCAGAGTTAGAACTGAACGTTCCCTGTTTGAGGCGGCTCCAGTGGCGTCCCTCCTGGTGTGCCGTTGATAACGGTGCCGGTGCCGGTGCCGGTGGCGGCATTGGCGTTGGCAGTGGACGCCCCAGTGCCACCGTAATCTGCAGTGGACAACCAGTTAATTATCAAGATTAGCGCTGCACTTGACTAGCCGTACTTGGATGTGTCTCATATTTCGGTCATTTTAAGTACACGGTTTCATATTTCGGTCACCGGTCACTTACACCACCCCCCAAGTGGCGCGCCACGTGAATAGCTGCTGATCGCACAACGTGTTTTAGTTTGTAGCCATCAAAACAAAATCGAAAATGTTGGAATTGAAAATTTCTGAAATTCGTAAACGTGGAAAAGCGGTTCTTTTACATTGCACGGGTCCAAATTTTTTTACCTTTATGCTTGGAAATTCATTGAGCCAAGTTTTTACTATCAAAACTATTCATATTTGGAATTTTTGTCTTGCCAGAAAATTTGAACACTAGGTGACCGAAGTATGAAAACGTATACTTAAAGTGACCGAAATAAAAGAAAACCCGAAGTAGGCTATGTGTAAAAAACCCCTTACTGTCGGGACACGGCGCCACAGCGGCCGTGCAGGTGGTAGGATACAGGATGCGCAAGCCCAGACAGTCTCCTTGACTGAGGCGGGCCAGATTGCCGGGTGCGGTGTTGCCGGTCGTGGGCAGCGCCGCACCGCCCACCGCACTATACAGATTCCCGGTGTTAACGTATTTTGTCACCGCGGGCATGGTAATACTCTTGTAATCAAAATTCGTCGTCAGCAGGGTCGTTGTGGCGGCTGGTAAGATCGTGGTAATGCCCAAATTCTGCAAGCCTGCAACGAGCCAGTTTTAGCAGCATCGGGCAGTCAGTGTGTACATTGAACAGGGATCTTCAAAAAAGCCACCATTAGGATCTCTTACGAGAAATCACAGTCTGGTCTAGTAAAGAACTGGGTTTCTTAGGTTTCTTAGGTTTCTTAGAAGAAAACGCATATTGCTAACCACACAGCGACAACAACTACAAGCTTATTGTAGATAGGGTGCTTAATACTCACCTGGTTTTAACTGATTGTCGGCTACCTATAAAGGACAACCATGTTACGTTTCACTCTATGATACACAAACAATACAATACTTGTATACAAAAATATGCCTGTTCTGCAACAAAAATCTTTATGACCTTACACATAAGCAATTATTTGCGCTCTTGTATTGCATACCCACTAAAAAAACGCTGACAGACAGCGGTTTATGCCAGCGCTACTACCTAACTAGCATTTCCGGTAAACCGGTAAAGCCAAAATTTAATTTACCACTTGAATAGCACCGTTCCTGTCCGGTCTGTTCATCTCATTGCGAATTCCCAAAGAGTTAACTGCAAAGTGTAGTGAAGTGTGTTGAATATCAAAAGATTCTGATGACGTAACTTTTTCTTATGTTCCCGACAGTATAATGATAGTACTGACCTAGATATTTCATGATTTCTCGTGTGCTGCTCAGACATCCATCCACTCCGCCCACCATAAGGAGGGTCTGCCCGTTGCCGGCTTGGCGCACCACCCGACCGGGAAACGAGAAGCATGTGGCCGTCGATACCGAGGCCCTGCAGTAGGACTACAGCTTTTGGCAGTCTCTGTTTATACTACAATATTAGTAGCCAGAACATAAGCTTCTTACGTGGTCGGGCTACTCAGAGTCTGGGAAATCTGTATGAAATCGGTTCCGGCATTTGTCACGTTGGTATACGGCTGGAAGCGAATACAGTTATTCATGTCGGCGGAGATCTGGGCCATCGCTGCCTGAATCCCGGCTGTATCGGTTGCAGCTAGGAAGAAAAATCGCTGAGAACATCGAATTATGTTAGTCTACTGATACAATTTATATATGTATATACCGTGGACGCCATACAGATGTTATATTCACAGCCGTATAGCGCGATGCATATGTGTGGATATTGTGTAACACCTATATGGCGTCCGAGGTATACTTCTATATATATACATATATATATATATATATATATATGTATACATATATATATACACATACGTACACACATATATATATGTATGTACTATATATTAGTGATTTTATTTCTCAATATGTACAAAGGCGAGCTTCGCTCAACAATATATATTATATATGTATATGTATGCACACACATATGTATATATACATGTATGCACACACACATATATATATATATATATATATATATATATATATATATATATATATGCATATACACTCACATATATACTATACTTAGTATATATGCAGTATATATGCAGTAATGTTTGTACTGTTTTCTGCTTACTGAATCCGGCGCCGATGCGATAAAGGATAGCCTGCGGGTTTGGCCATAAACCGTACGCCGTATTCGTGGTGCGCACAGCTCGAGGATCTCGATTGTGGTTGTGCATCATCTCCGAACTAATCACCGCCCCGCGCGACCACTGCACGGCGACTTGCAGCCAGATCACGGCGATCGATAAATAAACCAGGGACATTTTGCAACAATCGTTGGCTATATCCGAACTGCAAACTACTGGAGGTAGTGCTTTTTTGGTATACATCCCGAGCACGCTTATATAGTGCAGTCTGCTAAAGTTGCAATATATGCAAACGATCCCAATATACAAGTAAAATGTTAATCTAATTATTACTACTTTGTAACACTTGACTGCCTGCAAAGTTTAATTCGTTTCTGGCTATTAGCTTTCGAAAGATGTCCATAAATAATGATGCTACCACCCTCCCAGTAATTTTTCGGGTTCATAATTCTTCTAACTACTATTTGCCGCTCTGCAGCGGTGCGGGATTTGTAGGTCACGGCATAATTTGTGGATCAATGCACTAAAACAGCAAAACCAAAGTAGCCTATATGTTTAAATTCCGCGTGCCGTCGGTAATGTATCATGAATAATTTCTTTAGTCGTTGATTCGTTTGCATAGGTTTCATAGCTCACTAATTTTGTTTACTGTGACACCAGTTTGTACTTGTATATAGTGCGTACATAATATATATACATTGCGTACATTCGTAATAATTGATAATACAATTATGCGCCATGCAGGCTAGATATGTACAGTTTTGGGCTACTGACTTTACCCTAGTATACAGAACTGGCTAATTATAGACCAGAGGTACGAAGACATAGTGTATGTATAGTTATAGTATGCTTGGACGGACTGTGACGAAGAGGTCAGTTCGGCGTAGCGTATTCTATAGAATAAAAGGTCATGCAAGCGTTTTTGATCAATACATGCACAGATGAATTGATAACATGTTTGTTACTCATGAAAAGCATTTTTTTAATTAAAAGAACTGGTATGTGCCTTCTGAAGAGGTACGAGCGCATATAGCGCGAATATACTGTCAGTGCCATGTTTTATTTTATTGCGTTTTGCTAGTTTTGTGTCCAGTGTCCATATAATACTTGCATTCATAACTTTTAATATGAAATCTTTAAAATAAAATCTTCAGTGTGTGTAGTTTCCAGGTTTTACCGTGCATAAATGATAAATGTAGCAACGGAACGTTGTGTTTATGACATCGAAATTAAAACAGAATTAAACTGAATTATAATAAACGGAGATACAAAAATTGTTTCAATTTGTTTTTGGCTTGTAAAGAGGATGAATAAATACAAAGTTGAATTAAACATTTTTATAGCAGTTTTACAGATAGAATAATCTGCAAAAATTAATATTTGTGCGTGAGGCCGGGACAAGCAGCTTATTTACGTATTTCCCATTAAAATATATTGGGAAACGTGAAAAATGCTACAAATTTAGTTACTGATTGTTGCTGCTGACACTGTCTTCCGCAAAAGGTCACTCGCATTGTACATACAGGATCGTCTGTAAAAGGTCACCACGTATATTGCAGGACCGTATGTGCATACAGAATTCGAATTTTAAATCATTTTGTTCACAGTAGTTTCAATTATTATGCTGTGTACTGTCTGAAGCCGAATAAAAGCTGCGTGGAAGACAAAAAAAGGCAAAGTCGGCCAGTCGGTCCGCGGTTCAAAACTGAACGCGCTGGACCCATGGAGCAGCTGCAAATCAGGATTCCGTAGCTGCAGCTGCAATATGCGGCGACGCTCCCATGTCCCTGAGCAGCCGCTTCCTCTGCGCCGTCCACGAGCACTTCCCGCCACACGGGGGACATGCTGGCAAAGGTCACGGCCGTGCATGCGCGCTGGGTGCGCAGCCTACCCGTATCCCGCGGACTGGCGGAGTATGCGCCATTATCGTGCAGTGTACGCCTACGAGAGCCAGTGCATCCGTTGCGATGTTTTCTTATGCTATGTTATTCTTAGGTTGCTCTTATATTCCTGATATTTGCTCATATCTTCGTGCGTCACTCTTATGCTGTCTTATGATTCTTACATTCTGGCATCAAAATCCCATTTGACCCTTCTCCCCTGTTTTGCAGGTTCAGCGGCTTCAGTGCCGACGGCAGCCCGCGGCTGTGGCAGGAAGTGGATTCGCGGCTGCTGGATGAATCCACACTGAGCCAACTCGCCATCTGCGGAATCGACTGATTGCACTTTCTTGACCTCTGCATTGCACTTTCTGCAATAGAATAAATTCCGCTGGCAGTATTTTTAATAGCTCGAAACTGGACGCGGGATACCATTCCTCTTTCACACGCATTCAGCTTCAGATGTTCCATTTTCTAATTGACATGCATGGCAGTGATACTGTATATGCTCACTCTGATTACTTAAATCATGATTAGATTATTACTATACATTACGATTAGCATTTATTAATAGACTGCTACCATTTAAGTTAGCTAATTTGGCTTTTTTTCTCTTATGAAAATATGGTAATATTGTGAATTTGTTATCGAACTTTGATTCCAGTTTAATTATCCTGCTTGGTTCGCGATTGATGCTATACGAAACGGTCATTATGGACTCTTGATGGCTGATGTACAAAATCGTACAATTCTATGCTTCCATGGTACACTTCTTTGTTAGAAACTTTCAATAAGAATTATTTGTTAGTTCGGAGATTAAATTCGTTGCAATTATTTGCTGATGCAGCATTAAAAGGAGAGCCAGCACAAGGAATCAAATAATCAGCTCGTGTTAATTACACTGTGGATTGTGAAAAAATGCCCGTGTGAAAAATCTAAATCAGTTTCTAAATGGACAGTTTCGCTGACGTTTATGGAAAAATTTCGAGCGTGAGTACTCAATAAAGATTCGTTTATTTCGTATCTCGGACAAAATCTATACAGGCTTTATTCAGCACGAGCTACAATGTCGGCAATGTCATACAAATATAAATTCAAATTACTAAAAAATCTGTCCCAGTTTGTGCGTGAGGGAACAGCTGCCAAAACCAGCTGCGCCGTATATTCGCCAAACTCGCAAGCTTTCGGGAAACCGCTACACATTCCCTCGATCCTTTCTTCCCATCGAGCGGATACGCAATGCATAACCGGAAGTGTCAGAGCGATTAAAATAACAAGAAAACCGGATATATACACGTGAGTAGACTCAGTAGATGAACCCGCGACTGTTGGCCAGATGCGAAGACCCCAGCGATTCGCTGTCGATGTAGCGCATGCGTTTGGAGTAACTGCGCGATGGGATCGTATTCATCCCGGCCGGATGCGAGAAGAGATGGCCGGCGCCCGCGGAGCAGCTGGCGACGGAGGCGGCGCGGTTGCCGGGTTCGCTGGTGGCCACGGAGCGGAAACTGCTGTTGTTGCTGACACTGTGGCTCAAGGAGGCCTGCCGCGAGAGGGTGGACGTCCAGGGGGAGCGGTAGCGGGACTGCGCCCGCAGGCGGACCAACTGGCGACTGCGGGAGGTGGTCAGGGGGCGGGGATTCCGGATGGGCGTGGCCATGTGCAACTGGATCCACTGCAGGCTGGCCGAGGGCGCCAACGGTCGGCAGAAGGAGGTTCGCCGCGAGATGTCCTTGGTGGAGTCTTCTATAAAAGGTCACCACGACATATATATGGCATATATACAACTACTTACATATACAATTATGTGTCTACACCAATTACGTATACAGCTGCTTATGTGCACATTACTTTACAAATATGCATGTATATATACTTCGAATGCTGCCTTATATGGGCTCCCCTTATATTACTCTCCCTTATCTGGGCTTCCGGCTAGTTAGCAATGCCCGTCAAATTAAATTTATCGGATTTATAGCAGAACCTTTTTCTACTTCTTTCAACCATAAATTTTGAAGAAACCATAAATTTTAGAAATATTTTGAATCTGTCGTTGATGCAACCTGAGCACTTCGAAACAAACTAAATGCTACAAAGTACTGGCAAAATAAGTATTTTAAATAAATCTGAATTTTCAGTCAGGATGACTCAGACATAACACTGATAACAGCTGCGAAAGTGTGAGTAATAACGTAACCGCCCATGTAGAAGGTTGTTCATATTGCTCGGGAGCCCAGATAAGGGAAAGTAATATAAGGGGAGCCCATATAAGGCAGCATTGATATATATATATATATATATATATATATATATATATATATATATATATATATATATATATATATATATATATATATATATATATATATATATATATATATATATATACATTCATGTATAAGTACATATAATTATGTATATGTAACTGTGCATATGTACTAGTACTTCAACGATTTTCGCATTCCGGACACTTTCACAATATGATTTTCCGGGCCGGACACCACAAACGCGGTATTTTCTGCGCTGTTCCACAGTAGAAAATTTGATAATTTTTTATTAATTGCGTGTACAGGCTTTTATAAAAGCAATAATCATCACGTAAGCAATTTCTGAAAAGGTTTTGCCATGTGGAACAACACGGAAGATACCGTGTCTCTGGTGTCCGGTATGCGAAACCATACTGTGAAAGGGTGCGAAATGCGAAAAACGTCGAAGTATTCGTATCTTGGGGAAGCCAATGCGCCGCGTGTTTAGCGCATAGATGGGGCATCCACGTGCGTTTGCTGTTATTTTTTTTGTATACGGCAGATCATGACATGTCGTGTGGGATCGACAAACAGCTCCATGCGCCCTTTACAAGGCCTGTATTTATCAAACTGTCAACATCGGATGACGTCGGCGTTTCAGTATTCTTCAGTGGAACACATGCGTATGCCCCGACCTGTTTCTAAATAGTGCTGCCTGACCGTGTCCGATATAAGGAAAGGTCACATTCCCAATTAGTTACATGGGCGGCTACGGTATCTACGACTGGAGATTGCGGCCCTTTAATGACGCACTACACTGTACTCTTCACGTTATCCTGGTACCCTGTACTTACTGGCCAACTTGTGCATCAAGCAGAGCACCAATTACCACCGCTGATAATCGGAATTAGCCTGCCCACATGAGCGGTTTACATTCCCACGCAGGGATATTCCTTGAGGAGAAAACTCCGTAGACTTCCAGCCAACAAGCGGTTGCCGCTCGCGGGATCATTGACGACTAGAGTAGGAAAATGTCGAATTTGTAGGACAACTGAGATACCCTGCCGTCCGCACACCCTAACCGCTTGTTACCCTCAGCAAGCGTATCCGTTTTATGCGCGAGGTGTGGTTTCCCACCATATCTTTTGTGCAGTAATACGATATTTAGATACGTATTTTATTCTGCGGATTAATTACTGTTTGTCTCACATTGTCCACAGTCCTTGCGGCCTAGTCTTCACAGCCAATCTTTTTCCCAAGGTTACAGATCCATTTTGCCGATTGTCTCTTGGCCTACCATCCGTTTTCCACGCTAACTGGAGCCAGTTTAGCTCTTACAAGCATCGCGTGGTTAAAATGTTAAAATACAAAAAGCCAAGCGTTACTAACGAGCTGCCCCGTCCTCACCGCCAATCTTCCTCCCCAGGTTACAGATCCATTTTGCCGATCGTCCCTAACTAGACACTCTTGACCTCCCTTCCGTTACCCTCTTAACGGAAGGCAGATCCACCTTTATCGGGATACCGTAGTTCAAGTGCGAAATGCCGGCGTTTTAACGAGCTGCTACTAATGTACAGTCGTGTCATACGACTGTATTTCTCAAAGCCAATCGGTTTCCCAATGTTACAGATCCATTTTACCGATCTTTTCTTACCAGACACTCTTGACCCGACAACAATTCCCTGCCGCTATCGGAAGCTAGCTTAACTGCTACAAGCAACAGCGTGGTTAAAATACAAAATGCCGGCGCTTAAACGAGCTGCTGCGGATGTACAAGTACGACTTTAGTTCTCAGAGGCGTCAGAGCCAATCGTTTTCCCAAGGTTACAGATCCATTTTGCCGATCACTCCTTATTAAACCCTCTTGACCTCTCCTCCATTTCCCGTCGCCAACCGCAGCTAAATTAATCCCGAAGACGACTGCGTCGGTTTACCACAAAATCCCGGCGTTGTTGACGAGGCGGCCGGCGATTAGCAGCCCGGCGACGAAAACACGACACGACGCGCCTCCATCACGCACATTTATTCCCGCCACGGCCAACCGGAAGCCCGGCCAAGCGTCCGGCGTGCACGCCAACTTCCCTTCAGACAGTTAAGCGGCTTAATTTCTCCCTTGTACACGGTAACGGCGTCATTCCGCCGCGGTTTCCTAGTAATGCGCTTACCGGCGGTGGTCTGGCAGCACAGGGCTTTGCGCACGGCAAACCGGAAACGGTGGCTCATGATGTTGTAGAGGATGGGGTTGATGGCGCAGTTGAGGTAGATGAGGGTCTTGGCGAAGAACAGGAACCACATGTTTAGCCAGGCCTCGGCCATGAAACTGTTGTACACCAGGATCAGGCGGAAGGGCAGCCAGGAGATGGCGAATAAGATCACCACTACCACCAGCATCTTCGGCACCTGCAATAACACCGGATATCAAATGCATGCGGATCGACAGCTGTGTCGTTTATGATCAGGAAATGCACTGCAGAAAGAGCGAAAGAAAGCGTAAAAAGCGTGAAACATGAACCTGAGGAGAATTAAAATGTTACATATTTAAAAGAATACGGTAATTTCAATAAAAGAATCTTTCAATAAAACAAAGTATTACATAATTGTATACACGCATATAATATATATAAAATGTTCGTATATAAAAGAGTTGAAGCATATATAAAGTATTCAGTGCAAAAAGAAGGACACAAAATTTTACATCGGCCAGTCGGTCGAAACAGTGAAGAATCAAAATTAACAAACCGTGTGTAACAGGAACACATTCAATGCGTTTAAAAATCGCCAGTACCGGGTTCGAACAGAGAACGCTTGTTTGCCCGACGTGCAGCGTTCCTATTCCGCTTGTTTCCTGGGATTTTTTTCAAATTTTAAATTTAGTTTTAAAAAGATGGACATTTTTATACGGTTTCCGAGAAATGATGTAAACCGATGATCTCGGCATCGTCCGGCACCTGGATTTTACAAGCGTCACGCCGAGCAACCGTGAGCCGCATGGATCCCCGTTAATCTATCATTAGCCGGCACAGAGCCTCCGCACAGTCCGCACACATTGCGTCACCGGGGTAATGATAGCGGCCGGACACTTAGTTGCGAGGTATTCGAGATGTAGTGAATGTCAGTTAAAAGGCTGGACTTTCTTCAAGAGATACTACTGTAAGCGCCGGTCATGCAGCCAGCCGGATGTTGTGGTTGATATATATGGCAGTTGACGTAATTAACCGCGTCGCTGGGTCGGGTAATTTATTGCGATCTACTATTTAGCATTTTCCGGGAAATCGGTATTCCCATCCAGTAGGTGGGATTAAGCAGATTATGCGGGGTAAACAACGACTGCGTCAGCGGTCTGGATTGCAGATGTAGACAATTATGCACTACTTTTACCTCGTTCACGGATTTAAGGAAAACAAGAAATGTAATCCTTTATACAAAATTACAAATTAGCGGCAACTGTGTAATAACAGAATTAAGAATAAAATTACACGAAACTATTCTAAACTGGGCAGTGGGATTCAGACTGACGCCAGTGCAGAAACCAGAAAGAAAAATGAGACGGAAATCGAGCGTAAAACAATGTCTATATAAGGCATGTACTTCCACGCCTTTCCGCATTCCGGATGGTTTGACAAGAAAGTCTGGATCCGCGTTCCGGATACCAGAGACACACTATTTCCAGCGTTCGCATTAGAAAACGCGATAATTTTTTATTAATCTCGTGTACAAGCTCGTAAAAAACACTAACTATCACGTAATCAATTTTTGAAAAGATTTTGTCATGTGCAACAACGCGGAGAATACCATGTCTCTGGTGTCGGGTACTGTATACGCGAATCCATATTGTGAAAATGTTCGGGGTGTGAAAAACGCCGAAATATAATAATTTATCAAATTAAAAATAAATTATTCATTTTATTATTATTCATTGTACAAATTATAGTATTTATAGTATTCATTTATTTTTTTTATATTATTTATTCATTTTTTAAATTTATTTTTAATTATGCCGGAAAGAGTATCATCCCAAATTGTTGCTGTCTGTAATTAAAAGGTTAAGTGTATGCTTGATTGGACAAAAAGCCATCAGTATAACAAAACGTGCATTCGCGTAATACTACTTAAAATGATTCAAATCTAAACGCTTAAGAAGCGTTGGTGACCTTACCGCTGGGGCACTGCCCTGCCGGCGCATGGCCCGGAAATCCTCCTGCCCCGACATCTTGGCCTTAATCAGTCTCCCGGTGGAGTTCGATTTACTGACACTATTGACGCTCTCGGCGTCCAACTGCACCGCCGCCGCGGCGGCCACCACCTCCTCCAGGGCGTGGCTACTGCTGGCGGGGGACTTCCGGGTGGGCGTGGCGCGGCGCTGGCGAATGACCAGGGCGATCTTGATGTAGGCGACGAGGGCGGTCAGCAGGGTAGGACGTAGAAGAAGGTGAGGTCGGCGATGAAGAAGGGCTGGTAGTAGTGGCGCGCCATCCGGAAGTGGCACTGCTTCCGCTCGGGGAAGTTGACGTCGGGCCGGACTTCCGTCAGCATCAGCCAGGGACAGCAGTACCCCACCACCATGATCCACGAGAAGAGGATGATGGTCTTGGTGCGGCGTAGGGTGCAGACGCGGTAGGCTAATAAGGGGTGGCAGACGGCGATGTACCGTTCCACCGTGAAGGTGAATATGCTGTAAAAAGAAATATAATTATTATTATTAAAATTGATAATATTGCATTACCTCGATAGTATTATACAACAAACGGAAAATCATTATAAATTTACTTGTCGTTATTGCAATTTAAAATTTTTATTAAAATGATGGTATAGTCCTTCGATATTTGTCCGCATTCATCCGCTCGTTCTTAATAAGGTCACTTTCCGAGAAATGTTAGCGAAAATGTTTCGATGAGCAACGATATAAAATAACGGAGACATGCCGGCATGGGACTATCCATTTTTTATGTTTTTCCAAGATTCTTAAGCCATCTTCTAGGTAGTGTTTTTCAAAATAATGTTTACAAAAATTATGGGTACCCAGTTACGCAGAAACAAATGCATATACAGATATACCGAGCACATGCTTTAAAAAATCATATTTTCAGTGTTTTTTTCGGAATAACTAATTTTCTGTATCTGTTCTTCGAAGTACAAGCTTGTTCTGTAGTATTTTAAAGTCCCATCGCGACAAATACAAATTCCCGGGTTACGCCTTACTACTTAGTAAGACGCGCTGTGCTGTACACTATTTACGCTGTACATGCAACTGGCATGGCTAATACATGCCCAATATCGATCGAAATTATAAACTATCGAAATAAATTATAAAATAATAACGTTTCTCCTTTATGATGACCTTAAATACTGAGAGGAATAATTGGTTATAACAGACGCAGTGTAGTGGCAATCATTCATAGAGCAACTTCCGCCCATACGTTCGGTGAACGCCAAGCTACGAGTACTTACACAGCAACGATCAACAACCGGAAAACTGCTATTAAAAATCGCCATTCTTCCGTACTGTCTGTCTGGCATAAAATTCTCTGCCACCGTGGTTTAATTGACCGCACCGTGTGACAGTGTGACTCCGAGACGTATCAAAGGGTCACATGCAACTGCCTACTATTACATCATTGTGTATATGCGAAAATTCGTAGTAAACTACTTTGTAATTCACTGACGCCCGCTGTACAACGCAAAAAAAAGGACAATCAGAATAAATATACACCTCCCTTATAATTATTCCGGGATACCGGAAGTTTCAACTACGTAATGTACAATAATTATAACGCTGGGTACAATATACAACATCACGAGTTAGCTGATTGCACGGTGTATGTAGAGGAATTACAAGAGGATGATAACACGTATTAGCCGGCCTAGGGTGACCGGCGAAGCGCTAATGTCTTTGGATATGTCTTCCGTTTCCGGCCGTCTTCCGCACTACTTTCGAGGACATGTTGTCCCAGACGGCGATAATGAGATCAGCGCACTTTAGCCCGATGCTATCCTGAAATGATCAGCCGGCGTCATTATGCCGGTGTTGTGGGGCATATTATCCGGTCGGGCATAATCGGGACAGATCGGGAGTGACAGGACGGAGGTCGGCTGATCTGATTACGCCTTATATGTCATTTATGAATTATGCACATTTATTGGCGTTTTTCGCGGGGATCCGTCTCCGGTCGGGTTCTTTTTCGCACAACAATATATGCTCGGTGCATAATTAACACTGTGCTGCTACCCTAGGGTAGTGTTTCTTAGGCTTCTTAGGTTTCTTAGATCATTTACTCACCTCAGCACTATCCAGTGGTATGCACGAAAAAATGAACGCATACTGGAAAATTCAAACAAATTTTCCATCGTAACTGTTGCATAAATTTCCAATTTAATTGTTAAAATCAATTTTGACAGTGCTTGCCATATATGCAAAGACCTACAACTTTCATTTCCGATTGCTTTACAGAGAAGCGCAATTAGCGTAAAACGTGCCGGAGATGTTTATCCTTGGCGATACACCCGCGTTATCCTGCAGCCCGGCTTCCATAATACAAGAGCCGGACAATTACGGGAAAATTGCCGGGGATCTCCCGTACACCGATCATAATCAGTATCTGTATAAGCGCCTATATACCGGCACTGACCTGACACTTCCGGCGTTGATGCCCATAAAGTTGAGGAAGATGAAGACGGCGCACTCCACCGAGCCGAGCAGCCACTGCTTGCCGACATGATGGCCAATTAGCGCCTCGGGGATGGCGGTGATGATCACCAGGAGGTCGGCGCAGGCCAGCGACACCTGTACACATAAACAGAACCGTCGCATCATGGCGCTATACGCGGTCTTTGGCTGACCGCAGCACGTGCGGATTTACGGTGATCCTTGTATAGGAAAATGTTTTTGACCGGCACTGAATGCACCGGCCACCTACGCACCGGTCCCACAAGGACGCTGTGTGTGATACAGTCGTCCCGGGGAAATTGCAGAGGAGCGGTACACAGTGCAAGAAATGTAGTGCAGCCGGGGCTGATAATTGGAATTCCGCGGATTCCAATTATGGGACAAGGTTAGCCCCGAAATAAACACCGGCGATCGGTATCTTTTGTTGGTTACAGTGCTTCTTAGGTTTCTTAGATTTCTTAGAACACTTATACGCGTACCGCACCGTCAGCGTTATATAATGTCATGTGAAAAAAAATGGAAAAACTTTCGATAAAAATAAAATAAATACGCGCCAGCGTTACATGAATTCAGTATTGAATTACATAAACGCCGAACCGCTAATGATTTGTGATATTTTCTCACTGTTTGACATGTAAATTTATGACGTGTAAAATGCAAATCTGCGCAGGCGTTAGTGATATACAGCATGGGCACAAGATGATGCCGAATAAGGAGGGTTGAAATAAAACACACATTATGAAAATTAATGATAAATAATGTATGTATCCAATGTATTTGAATTTGAGTAAGATATTATACATTATAAAATACTAAGCACGATAACACGAATAGTCGGTACATTACCGGTGTTTTTTTATTTAATTTATTTGAGCATTATTACTCATTAAGATATACATAAGAATAAGAAGTATTATTTTATTAGAGGTGTACAATACATAAACATACGAAGTGTACATATATAAACATCCACCGTGCGTATAGATCCTTACCAGATAATAATAAGTGGGCGTGTGCAGACTTTTGGAGCGGCACGCCGCCGCCAGCAATATCCCATTGCCCAATAAGCCCAACAAAAAAATGGTAACATGGACGACGGTGGCGGTGATCTTATAGGACACCGGGAATTCCCTGGCCAGCGCGGCCGCCTGCGCCCCGGCACTGCTGTTGCTGGTGATAACCGTCGTCTGCAGTTCGGCTTCGGCTTCCACGAAATAATCGTAGAATTCGCTCTCAATCAGCTTGGACGCCGCGTCCAGGATCTCCTCCTCGGTTTTATTCAAGTAACCGGTGGCGTGCAGGCGCTCTAATAAAGTGCTACCGCGGCCCATGGTCAGCCGGTCGGGTCAACGTGGCATCCACAAAATTATACTAAATCGGTTTTTATTTTCTTGTGTAATTATTCCGCATATAAAACCAGGAAACGCGGTTTATATGCGAGACAAGCGACACATAGTATTTTTAAAAAAATCAAATCAGGCGGAAAAATAATCGCGCATGGCGAGCTATTAACGCCGAAAATACAGCGACACCGGCACGCGCTTGACGAAAAATCCCACACAAATTCGGATGACTGCTTCCCAATGGAAAAATATTTTCGCCGCGGACGGAATAATCACGTATTGAATAATACCGTCAGTGGACTGGTGCATCAATCTACGCTAAGTATTTCACCGAGGCGAAGAGAAATGTTCACCGGATAGAGCCCGAGCAAAAAAGACGCGAGGAGTGGATCGTTTTGTGCCGCGAGTAGGGTAGCATTTAATTCCGCTGCCGGCGCACAGCGCTATTAACCGGCGACTATACTGTACAGTTATAAGAGAGAGCGATGATTACCGGCCCGGCTAAATGACTCTTTAATACCGGCTGCACAAATCCCCGCTCGTGCACGATTATCCCGGGACTGGGGAAGAGAAAGAGGAAGAGAAATCACATATACCGGTTAGCCGTACCATTACACTCCAAGATCCCCGGCCGGCGCTTATATTATACGACACGATGAGGACGCGCTGCTCAATTGCGCGATTTTCCGCCCTTTAACGTCTGATGCTAGCCCGTTAATTAGCGCGCGCGCCTGTTAAAGATGCCGGGTAGCGTTCAAGTGGCTCCAAGTACGGTGTACATCTGGTTATATAAGCGCTAGAACATGAGCGCTGATTACGCTGCCAGCCGGTAATTAATCGTCCTTAATCAAACAGTGTTCTCCGCGTGGAGAAAGGTTAGGTCCGGTTTGAGGTGGATCACCGTCTTCGACCATTAAAAAGAATGATTTACAATCTAGGTACTTCTAGAAAAAGTAGATGGATGTGTTCCTGTTGCAGAATGTTTGTTGATTTTACTATCCAATTTCTGAACGTTAACCGACTGGCCAGTTTACAGCTTTAATCATATCTATAATTTGCACTGTACATAAAAAAATCCCCAGAGGTTATTTTTAATTTTATGTGCTTTAGGCTTACTAAATCTTACGAAGGGAGTTAAAAATTATGATTTTATTAGGCTCAAAATTAAATTCTATATTTTACCTAATTTTTAAAAATCATCTGATACATGTATTTTTACCTAATATGAAAAATCACGTATTAGGCATAAAATTTAATTTTTTAATTTACCTGATGTTTATTCCCTAGATCGCTACGTAAAAGAAATTACGATTTTAATACCCTTAAAAAAATAATCTCACTTTTTTATATTTGTATTTAAATTAATTTCAATGTTTTGCAACCGGTTGCAACGTTTTTGTTTTACATGGTGGGACAAAAAAAAGGTAGGTGCTTCGTTTTACCGCATATTGCGCCAAACCAGCGCCTCTCTGTTTGAACCAAACGCCGGCGATTTACGCGCAATCGACGGGTTCCTGTTGCACACTGCTTGTTGATTTTATTCTTTAATTTGTCAACCGCGAACCGTCTTCCCAGTTTCCCTTTTTAAAAATTCATACAATTATATCTGCTGTAAAAAAAAACTAACGACGCCGACAAAATCCGGAATAAAATCTGAGCAATCGCGGATGTCGATCAAACATTCATCGCCCAATTACGCCGAAGGTTACGACGCACCGAACGGTCTCTATATTCGTCTGACGGGAGGAAATAGCGGGATTAAGTTAAGAGGGAATTACCGGTGGCAAGCACAGCGTCATCCTGTTAACCAGGTAGGTACACGCAGCACGGAAGCCAACCTGGCTGGTATATCGTCTATTTTCTCCCGGTCGGCCTAATAATCCCCGCCGGAATCACTTCCTGCCCAGTTAACCGGGAACACACACGGGATAGAAGAGAAAACGCCGGTTGACGTGATGGATGCTTGAAAATGGGGATTAGTGTGTGCTGCATGCGGATTGCAGGTGGCCTCTTATGGAGGATGATTAGAACGGTTACAAGGATGATCGCAGCAGACAAATGCCAACGTATTTAATGCGGCGGAATAACAGCCGATGTACATTGTACACCAGCAAGGGAAAATATTCCTCCAGATAAATGGCATTTTTTAACAAATTTTAAAGCGGGTGGGTTGCGGGATGGGGGGTGCCGGTGTCCGCGGTATCCGCTTTCCCGCGCTCATCGGAATTACTAAAAAAATACAGAAATAATTCACACCGACGGTAGAAATTTTTTTAAAAAATTTCCTATTATTATTAAATAAAAAATAAAGAAATAATTCACGGTTTAAATTTTTCAAAATTTCGACTATCAATATTAAAATAATTTCATTGGATTTTTATTCAGTTTTATTTCCGTGATCATCTGGGTTACTAAAAAAATGAATCAAAAATTCCTACCAGTTGTTTAAATTTTAGAATTATTTAAATTATCATTATTACTTGAATTTCAAATTTTTCAACTGATTTTTATTAGTAATAAGACGTTTCCTATTTTTATCATTTCAGGATCAGTTTATTTTAGTTTCTGTAATTTTCTGGGTTACTAACAAATAATTAAGAAAATCGAAACTCTCTGCTAAATTTCAGAATTATTTTAATTAACATAATTAATTGAATTTTAATTTTTTATCGTTTGTTTCTGTGCAGAAAAATAAGAAAAAATTCCACTGCAAAAACAATTACACAGCAAAAAAAAGTTATTGACCTCTCTGTCTCTGAAGAGGATTCGGAGGAGGAGCTGGGCAGCCGCCCCCGCCGGTTGGGATTGTAGAATTCCAGACTGTCGTCCACTTCGTCAAAATCTACGGCCAACGCAATTTTTTCTAATTTTCTTCAATTATTTCCTGTTATTCTTATTATTATATTCTGCCGCTGAATGCAATTGAGGAACCACATTGCCTACCACGTGAGGCGCTGGACTCGGCATCCAGGGAGCGGATGTAGTCATTCTGGACCTGGATGACTTCCGCGCTGGTGGCGCAGCGCTGATACTGCTTCAGTAAATCATGATTCAGCTCCTTGAAGGAATGACCCCATTTGAATTTCCGCAGTAAAATATCACACCACTCTTCGTAGCCTGCAAGCAATTCGGGCCATTTGGTAGTCTCCCATCATGCTGATTTAATTCGGTATAAAATGGGAAAATAAATACCAGTCATTTCCATTAACCACACTGTTTTCCCACTAATAACTCTCCAAGTAATTTTCCTCATTTTTCGTCTAACTGACTAATACAGCAATTCTCTAATAAGAGTAGTAATGAAAAATAATTCACAGCAGTTTCATACCGTTTCACACAGTGTGTTAAAAAATAATAAAAAAAATCAATCCGAACTCCATCGCGCAGAAAAACTGGCATTAAATACAATTCCAGAAATTATTACAATAAATCACACTGAAATTAAAATAAACTGAGAGAAAAATTAACCATAACAAAGCACGATGAGACTGCATTTTGAAATAAATTCACCAAGTTTTTCAAGTCAAAACACACACCTATAAGATTATTTATACAACTTTAAAAAAACTATTTATTTACATAATTATTTACTGGTGATTTATTTACAAGATTATCATTATTAATTTTATCGTTTATTTAAAAGATTTTATAAGCTTTATAAGTTAGTTTTTGATTTTATAGGTCGATTTTATAAGATTTTATACGTTATTTTTATTTTACAAAGGCTCGCTAGTTGAAAAGCTGGTAATGTTGGCAGTAAAACAAAGTAGAAAATAATTCCATCGCGCATAAACGTGCAAAATTATTGTAGAAAATCCGGGAAATGATGATAACTGCCGCCCTACCGGTGATGAAGAGGACGGCCGCATAGGCCTCCACGCAGGAGAGTTTGCAGGGCTTGCCGTAGTTGACGGGGTTGGCGGCCAGGAGGAAGGGCAGCAGTCGGGGGTGGTGGCACTTGAGACGCGCCAACGGCGTCCCCGCCAGCTCCGCCCACGAGCAGTCCACCACGGCGATCCCGCCCTGCTCAATCACCGCTCTACACAGTAGTTCAATAAATAAACACATACCGTACAAACAATCAAAATGCCAGGAAAATCCACAACGTGCAACACCGGCTGTCGACAAATTATACAGTGTACTGGATTTATTCAAGTACAGCGTAAAGAAATAAAAATTCAATTTCCCGTCGTCATTAACAGCGGCCAACCGGCCGTGTAAAATGGGAAATTTAACACGGAAAAATTCTAGCGAGAACACAATGCACTGCGCTTGGGTGCTGATAAAAATTCCATGTTTCTTTTAATTGGTTTGAAATCCTCCAAAAAATCGTTAGAAAATTAAGATAAATACAAAAAAAAAAATTAAACGCGCAAAATGTACAAATAAATAACGAACAATCTCAAAATAAACTCCGCAAAATATTTCAATAAATAACAAACAATCCTAAAATAAATTACGCAAAATGAATAAATAAAACAAATAATCCTAAATTAAGCTGCGCAAATAGGGAAATAAAGGAAAAAAATATACTGTGCACAAAACCTGAGAAAAAATGCACATCCGCAAAATCCGAAATTACGAGAAAACTTACTTATCTGCATTGGAGACACAGCTGGTCGCCGCGGGTGTCAGCAGAATCCCCGGAAACCGATCCTAAAACATCCACACCAAAAAATCTCAATTTCGATAGCCAAGAAATAATTCAACACAGACACCAGGCCAACCGCCCCGCGCGACCGTACCCGCAGCTGCAAACGGCGCACGTATCGCAGCCGCGACAGCTTCCTCCCCGTGCAGCGTTTTGGATCGCACTGGTCGAAATCCCACATGGCCAAGGGGACGGGTAAATTCCCCGGCGACCAGAAGGCTTCCGTATCCTGTTCCACATCGTCCGCGGCAGAATGCTCCGAAGCGCTATCGGAGTCGTGCGCACCACTGCGCTGATCTGCAAGGAAAATCATGCAACCTCGTGCGGATCACTGAAACGGCTGGGGGATGTTTTACGCAGATCGCTGGCACGTTCGGGAGCATCGGCGAATTTCTCGCTACCGCGGGGGGCGCGGTGGTGGTCCGGACGGCGACCAGGAGGTCCCGAGTGTCGGGGTTTGGACCCGCGTTTGGGAGGCATGATGGCTCAACGGACTCTTCAACAGACGTTGATGGATTTCAGCCCGACCGCTGTCAAAAATATGTGACGGTATGGATATTTTATGGGAGCACGAGGAACGCACAAGGTGCACAGCTGCACTATGTAAAAGCGTCGAACCATGAAAAAATTATCAGACCGATTATAGAAGAAGAAGAAGACCGTAGAAGAATTCTGCACGTCGGTCCGTCGCAAATTGTTTGTACTCAACTTTGTAGTGCACAGGCACGAAGATTAAGGTGTTCAGTGTTAACGTGCCCTTTCGAGGCGGTTGATATTTCGACACTACGGTTTGTATTTCGACAGAATCGACACTGCGATTTGTACGTTAAAAAAAACCGAGACAAATTTTTGGAATTGGAATTACAATTTTTATCGCAAGGATCAACAAGCAGAAGTGGTGCTAACGTACGAGTAGTTATAAAATTATGAAGTGTTCTATTAAAAATAGTAAGTATTTATGCATGCATAATTAATTTCATGTTCAGATTAGCACAGCAGTTGCAATAAGGAATAAGGATACGGTTGTGTCGCAGTTGCAGTCTACTCGAGACGGCATTCAGAGACTGAATTTCATCATTCCATGCCTCTGCACTACAAACATGCTAAAATCTAAATCCTGCTACTTCTTGAATCTTGCTGCCTTGCAAAAAGCAAAAGACTTTTGAACTTTTCCAGTTTATTGTTTTCCGTCAATCATTTGTCGCAGTCACCGTCACGGCCTCATTTAATTATTGTACTAGTAACTTCTCCAGTATTTTTTAAAGAATCTTCTGCATTTTCTCTCATCCGCTCCACTGACCCAGGCCGGTGTTTGACAATCCCCTGCTGCAGTCAATTTTCCCTCTGGCAGTTCGGACTGATCTCGGTTTCTCGACATCAGCAACCCTACCAGTCGTCTCACTTCTGGAATTTGTGAACCCCTGCTTCTTCGTTGGCTGCTTTACTTCCATGTCGCAATCAATCTACAGCGCCAAGGTCTTCAAGCCCAAACCCCCCGACAAGGGCAGCTTCCCGCTGGACCACGAGGGGGAGTGCAAACAGAACATGACGGTGTTCATGCAGTGTTTGAAAACCAACGGGTACGACAACAGTCAGTGTCGCGTGGAGGCCAAGAACTATCTCGATTGTCGCATGCAGAAGGAGCTCATGGCCAAGGAGGAATGGAGCAAACTCGGATTTGCCGATCTCACCGAGAATCCTGCGAATCCCCCGGAAAATCCCACAAATCCCTGACAGTGTCTCCTTGTATGATGAATGGTGTACAGGGATGTTGCGTTTGAATGAAAAAATCGGAAAAAATGTTGCGGAAAAATACGCAGATAATTTGCTGTTTTTATGTAAATTATAAATAAATACAAAACATCTGTTTTTGTGTGGGTCGGTGTGTGCTTTTTTAATATCATGTGACATAAGATTTTTATGTTGTGTTTTTCCGTTCGCAACAAATTGAGAAAAATAAATAAAACTAAAATAACAACCGTTAGATACCCCATCTTTTCGACTATTTTACACTTATTTCCTTTAAATAAACGAATAATAAACGAATTTTTCGATTGCTTATACACTTTTTAATTATAGACCAGGAATTTTTACGGCGTCTTTTTTCCGACCGCGCAAAATTATTAAATATAAAAAGCGTTGATTAACAAATACTTACTGTAGTTAAAAACGTTACAGTACCAATGTTTAGTCCGATCGTTCTACACTGTTTTTCCATCAAGGTTTTATGCTTTGATTTTTCTGTTCGGGTTGATTGAGGAAATCCAAAAAGGTAAATTAATAAAAAACAAAAGAAGTTACTGGCACAGTTGTTTTTATTTATTTTACGCTTCATTTGTGCCAGATTTTTTTTGGAATTAAATGGTTATTTTTCTCCGATGAAAATATAGCGGAAAATCAATTTTTATCTGCTTTATTTGATTTCTTTTTCTTGCGACAACTACGTACAAAATACAAATACAACCACATCGACAAAGCGATCAAAATATTTTGGGGCTCATTCCTGTTTTCTTACTCAATAAAAACGTAAACAACAATTCCGACAACAATTCCGCAGCATAAAATTAACCAAGAAAAGAAAACGGAATTAAATCACCGCTTATAAAAACGAGATAATAATATCAAAAGCTGTAGCGCACTGTATCTTCCGGCAATAAAACCGAGCCTTCGCTGCAGTATAACCAGGAACACTCCGCGAGATTCCATTAAAAAATCAACAGAAACTAGAGAAAAAATGTCAGTAAGCGCGTGAGCAACGGCATTAGATAGAGATTATTCCAGCCACAACGTAAATACGCGAGGAACAGAAGATATCGCAAAAATCATGCGCGAAAGATTCCAGATGAGTATTGGCACCGACGACGCGATGGAAGGAGATCCCGGGCGAATTCAGACGGACTGATTGGCGCTGCTTGTCGCTTTCTGCACGTCCAACGCGTCCTGAATACAGTCGACCACGCAGAGAATGGCCTCGGCGCTCTTGATGTGCGTCTCCGAGAAGAAGGGCGTGAAATACTGCAGCGGCACTGCAAACGTCAACAGCAACGTAGAAAACTTCATATAAAAACGGTACAAAGTCGACACATAAATTCAATATACAGAATATTAAATTAAAATTACATACAATGCACACAGAAAATAAATGTACAATATTAAATAAAAAATGTACAATAAATAAATGTACAATATTATTAAATAAATAAATGTACAATGTTATTAAATAAATGTACAATAATAAATAAGGTGACTGCTATGCGCCCCGACAAACCGGGCGCACAGAACTTGGCTTTGCGCCCCGAATTTCTGGGCACAGAAATATCTGCGATTTGCTGTTTTTCCGAAGGTTTTAATGTTTCATTTGGCTTCTTTCACTGTATTTATTAAACAGCTCAGTTTTCCTGTTGTAGTGTCATAACCAGGACAGCTTACATATATCTCAACCTGTAAATTTATTTGCTTTAACGCAGATTACGGCAACGACAGCGACGATGCGTAATTATTAAGATTTATTTGAGCATTGGATGAAGGCACTAGCACCGGAACGCGGGTCACCGGTGCAATCGACTCCGTCGTCCTTGCTAAAACCAACCCCTCCAGTCTCCTCGCAAAACAATGTGGGGGGGGGAGAGAACTACCTGATGCATATAAATAAACTTTACTGATGCTAAAGTTGATTTACTGCAGTGGACACAACAGCAACTGCAGTTTTGGGCATGGAGTGGACTTCTGTGCAGTCCTAGATGACCTATAACAATTGTTACCCACAGAACGTGAGAAACCAGTGTTATAAGCTTGCTCTAAAGTTGCTGAAAATCAGGATCTCTCAGAATGATTTCGGGATGTTTTGAGTAAGCTTTTCAATAAACCATGCGATAAAATGGGAATGAAAAAAACTGTAATTTTTTTGAATATTTAATTGGATAATGTGTTAGGTGGAGAAACTGATTAAAATTCAGTTTTTAATTTCTAATTTTTTCGTTCCTGACCCTCTGGAAATCAAAGCGGGCTTCGAGCATTTAAAACGGTGGTAGATGGAAACTGTGATGTGTAAATTATCATCAAAATAATTCGTGACAGTGAAAGGAAGCACGAAATGCGTATGTGTGGAACAAGTGTTGAAAATAAATTGTTGTTAAATGGTCTGAATTTCCTCACGCTCCTCATAGGTAGCGGCGGGGCGCGGGAAGTGTTGGCTATCCGTGAGGAAGCGACGACGGAGGAGCTGATTACGCTGGCGCAGGACAAAACGAATATTTAGCTATTAAGGGTACTTAATTCTGCAGTTCTCTCTAAACCTCTGCTCTCCTGCGGCCTTAAGGGTTAATCGAGTAAAAAAATTAAGTAAAAACAATCAATTGCCGGAAAAACTTAAAAACGTCGATATTTCTGCGCCCGGACATTCGGGGCGCAAAGCCAAATTCTGTGCGCCCGAGCACTCGGGGCGCATAGCTAAATTCTATGCGCCCTGTTTGTCGGGGCGCACAGCCATTTCGAATAAATAAATACACAACGGCGCTGTGAAAACTCAGCAATCATTCATCACTATCCGGAAACGAAGAAACAATAATTAAAAACTAATAAAAAAAATTAAATACAGAATATACAGCTGCAATTTTTAGAAAATATATATCACGAATATAAAGCTAATAAATATGAAGAGCGAGAAGATGCTAGAAAAAATTAAACAGAAAAAATACAAGAAATAAAAGATAAAACAGAAGATGCTAGTCTACAAAACAACCGCGCAGCGCATAATTTCTTAATGTAAAAGTTGAATAAAAAAAAAACTCCTGGTAAACTGGGAAACATTTGTTGATACAAATCCGACTCACGGTTAGAGCGGCGGGCGGCTTCGCGGAGGAAGGCCACCGCGTCGTCAGCCAGACCGAATTTCTGCAATTCCACCGGCAGGGCCTCTTCCTCGTCATCCCCCACGGGATTATCCGACGGCGGTCCGGCCAGTCCGTCCTGCGCCAGCGTAATCAGCTCCTCCGTCGTCGCTTCCTCACGGATAGCCAACACTTCCCGCGCCCCGCCGCTACCTATGAGGAGCGTGAGGAAATTCAGACCATTTAACAACAATTTATTTTCAACACTTGTTCCACACATACGCATTTCGTGCTTCCTTTCACTGTCACGAATTATTTTTCATGATAATTTACACATGAAATTTCCATCTACCACCGTTTTAAATGCTCGAAGCCCGCTTTGATTTCCAGAGGGTCAGGAACGAAAAAATTAGAAATTAAAAACTGAATTTTAATCAGTTTCTCCACCTAACACATTATCCAATTAAATATTCAAAACAATTTACAGTTTTTTTCATTTCCATTCGTTTCAAACGCTCCGTTTAATTATAAAATGATTTGATTTGAAGCGGGGGTTAAAAAGGTTTTATTCTGCCACGACCCCAAACGTATTTAAATAAAATTTTAAAAAATAAAAATTTTTATTTCCAATCGTTTCACATACCCGGTTTTATTTCGAAAATAATTCAAATGGAAGCTGCCATAAAAAAGTTGTAATTTGCCACGATCCTCAACGTATTCAAATAAAATTTTAAAAATTAAAACTTTGTATTTCCATCATTTCAAATGCCCGGTTGAATTTCAAAAAATAATTAGACTCAAAGCTGGAATAAAATCCATGTCAAAAATCGTGAAGCCACGCCTACCTGCGGGCGCGGCGTCCACCGGGAAGAGATGGAAGGTCTCCAGCACGGGATGATCCTGCGAATCGAACACCTCCACCTCCGCCGCCACTTCCGGTCCCGCTTCCGGCGCGTGCGGCTCCCCGCCCAGGGCCTCCGCCTCCCGGCTGCCTTGGCCGGCACCCGGGGCGGCGGTCGGTGGCACGGGCGGCGCCGGCGCCAGGGGGATCACCGTGGCCGGATCGGACAGGCGGGAGCGCTTACGGCGCCCGCCCACGGGCTCGGCGGCTTTGCTGGCGCGTTTGCGACGGGCCGTGGCGCTGGTGGTGGCCGTCCAGTAGCGGCCGGGCGCCTCGAAGGATAAGCGGTCCAGTTCATGCGGGGCCGGCCCGCAAGTGGTGGGCGGGGCCGGTTTGTGCGGAACAGATTTACCGCGCGGGCGGCGCTTTTCCGCTGGTGGAACGCTGGGCTGGGCGTCTCCCTGAACAGTTCCAAATAAATGCTAATTTTTCATTTAAAAAGGCTTAATTTATACATTTTTTATTTCGTTCGCCCAAAAGAAATCAGAAATCAGTTTTAAATCGCTTTAATTTAAAATTAATTCAAATTAATTTTTAATGCTGATTTAAATTAAAAATGTTGCTTTCATAAATTTTGATAATTAATTTAGAAACAAATTAAAAACTCATTTTTAATTAATCTGGGTAATTTAAAGTAAAAATGTTTTCTTTTTAAAAAAATTGTTATAATAATTTTCTACGGTTACAGTTGGGAAATAAATTTCTACGAAAGCGGAAATAAATTTGGACAAAATTTCTATAATTTGTAATATTGATTTTCTACGGTTACAGTTGGGACTTGGGGTGTAAAATGCTATATTTTTCTTCAACAGAAAAAAATTAAAGGAGCAATTTAAAAAAAATTATACTACTGCAGCGTTTTGATTTAAATAAATAATAAAAATACGCAAAAAAATCCTGTCTACTTCCCATTGTCGATAATACCGGTTGCGCTACAATTCCTTCAGTAAAACATCAGAAAAACAGCACGTTCAAAATGTGCAAGACAAATGGATTAATCTCGAGTGATCCCGGGAATTTAGAGCCATAACAAGATTATCTGAGGTCGTCAATTAAAATACAAATTGCTCTCCCGCTAAAATGCGTAGAGTGGTTATTACGTAGGAGGAATAATCTGCTGAATCGGTTTAATCTGAATTTGCTGACTCCCGGCGCAGCGCTCGCATTAAACTGTAGCGAAACGCGGATTAATGCCCGAGCAATCAATAATTCACCCGCTCGAGCATTACGTGTACAATAACATTTTCCTCCCGGTATATTATTTTTAGCTGCTCTATTAATTTGAAAGGCCACCTGGGCAAGACTCCATTAAGACAAGGTTATTAAGGACGAACATCCTTGTACAGGGAAATGCCAGGTTAATAAGCGCTAATATAAAAGCAATTTAATTACAGTGTATTAAATTTCCATAGAGCGCCCGGATCTAATTAAAATCTAATCTAATCCTGTAGAACATGAGCAGTTACATAAATCCAGTTTAATTAAATTTCACTAAAATACCGAAATATACTCATTTCAGAAATTTAATTAAAATTTGCGATTTAATTACGTAAAACAAAAACTTTAATTTAATCCTGTAGAACACGAACAGTTGAACACGCACATTCAATCCAGTTTAACTAAATTTCCCTTGAATACCAAAATTTACTCATTTAATACATTTAATTAAAAGTTGCGCAGTATACCATTTGCGCGCGGATTTAATTAAAATCAAATTTACTTACTAGTCCTCAAAATACCAAGAATTATTCTGCTTCATAAAATTTGGATTAAAATTTTTGCAGGATACCAGGATTTAATTAAGATCAAACTCAATCAAAATTTCCCTAGAACACCACGATCTACTTTGTTACTGTACTTTAAGTGCAAATTTAGTTAATTTTCCATGGAACATCAAGATTTAATAAAAACCAAATTTAATAAAAATTTCCACACAATGCACGATTTAATTAAAACCAACTAAAATTTCCGCACAATTTAATTAAAATAAAAATATAATAAAATTCCGCACATACCGCATTTCCGTTTGGCAGCGTAGCCAGACGCCGCTTCTCCATGTCGGCGTCCATATTCACCTTCATCCGGGCCACACTGGCCCGCGCGGGAGACATGTTATCCTGCTGGGCCGCGCAACGCCAGCGATTCTTGTCAACGGACACGACGACACCGGCAGTGTGCAGCGCCGATAAAGCCGCCTCGAACATCACCGCCGCCGATTCGCGGTGTTCCACTCTGCAAAAACGGCCAAGAGACTTTTTATATACTTTTACACCTCAGTCAGCCAGACACCGGAACGTGCCAAATGCAGCATTTTCCCCATTTGGCAATAATCACGCCCCGCTGCAGGCAGGGTAAAAAAATGAACGCACATCGTGTGTTTTTATTTGGATTAAACTCGTCTGCATAGTCGACGCGTACGTGACCGAATCATCCGGTATAATAATTGTTTTTAATTTTGAAATATTTCGTACAAACAAGCAAGTTTATATCGCCACAAGAATTTATGATTTCATCGGAAAATAGACAGCCAGAATAATAATCATTTAATTCACAAAAATGCTTAAAATTCACTAGCAAATTTATATCGTCACCGGAATTTATTATTCCATCGGAAAACAGCCAGCCAGAATGATATTCATTTAATTCACAAAAAAAGGTCAAAATTCACTAGCAAATTTATATCGTCACCGGAATTTATTATTCCATCGGAAAATAGCCAGCCAGAATGATATTCATTTAATTCACAAAAAAAGGTCAAAATTCACTAGCAAATTTATATCGTCACCGGAATTTATTATTCCATCGGAAAATAGCCAGCCAGAATGATATTCATTTAATTCACAAAAAAAGGTCGAAATTCACTAGTAAAATTTATATCGTCACCGGAATTTATTATTCCATCGGAAAACAGTCAGTCAGAATGTTAATCATTGAATCTGCAAAATTCCTAATAATTCACCAGGAAATTTTTATCGACATCGTCAACAGAGTTTATCTTCTCATCGGGACGTAATCAAACAACACCGTGCCATTTCTTTCCCACCACTTGAAAAACACGCAAGCGATTGCAGTTTATCCGATTGCAATTTGAAACCGCCAGACAATTTACCGGTGTATTATCAGGAGCAGGACATGGCCTACTCACACTGCGCAACTTTCGCACAAAGTATTCAACATTTATTTTCCATCTCTCTGATTTCTCACACCGCTCCACGATGCAGTCGTTCACACGTAGATCACGAAATTTTTCAAAAACTGAATTTTTTAACTCCTTTTCCCAATACTACTCTTTTGAGAATACAGAAATCAAATGGAATACTGACAACTTATTATTGTACACTAATACAGTAGTTTCAATGGTTATTCCTTCTATTGATTTCAGTCCACATTTAACTGATTATTTCACGACTTGAAATTACTAATAAATATGAAGCTAAATATGAATTAAATATTAAGCTAAATATGAATTAAATTAAAAGCTAAATATGAATTAAATATTAAGCTATTAATATTTTTTAAATAAAAAATATTTATTTCTATTTCCGTTTCGAATGCTCCACGCCCGGTGTGATTATGAAATGATTTCATCTGAAGCATGGAATGTGCAACGTCGGAAGTTGCCATTTCAAACCTATCTTCAATCAACTGCGAGACAGTCGGGTGTGCATATGACGCAAATCGACAAGTAAATCGTAATCATGTTTATTTTGATAACCGGATATACAGCGTGTAAAGTGTAAACAAGCCGTTTATGGGGAAATCGGAAACATACCATTCATAAGTTCTTTGCATTGCAAAAAGTAACAACGTAGGCCTACTTAAATAGCCAAACACTCCCAAAACCATTAGCCAGTACTAGTAGTAAATAAAAAAATATAGCCTATATGCTAGCTATAATAAGCACATCTACACGTATCACAACAAAAAATTGCCCGAAAGTTATTACTGCACAGTGCATACAATTGGTACATCACATAATTATTTTCATTTTTTATTCTAAATCAAATACCATATCGTATATTTTTGTCAAAAAATTAAATATTAAGGATTATTTACCAACATAATCTGCACCCACAAAATAAGTATACAAACACGATACAAAAGTCGTCTGATGATCTGATCGGTCATCTGGTTGATCACGTACAATCATAAGATGCGCGTGAAGTATGTACTTAATTTTAAGTGTTTCAGTTTGCATTAAAACAGTTACCATGCGAGGTATATTCCATTCTAAAACCAGTACTAGTACTTAATCAAGAAAAAAAGTAAATAAAACCATTTGAGACAGCACACTAAATAAAACAGTAAAAAAAGCATAAAGACAAATTATACAATACAAATAAAAATACCAATAAAATAGTAAAATCTAACATCTAACAAATGGTAAATAATACAAAAAATGGTAAATAATACAAAAAATAAAATAAATAATATAATAAATGGTAAATAATACAAAAAATAAAATAAAATAAATATACAAAAATAAATGGTAAATAAAATTAAATAAAAGAGTAAATAAAATAAGAAAGTAAAGCAACAATTAAATAAACAGCAAATCAATAACTTCATCGAATAAATTAGTTGTCCGTACTGTGTCTTACTCGAAAGTGGAGGAGATGTACTTCTCAATCCGCCCCCGATCCGACCCCTCCGTGTCCCCCATCTCCCGCACGGCCAGCACCACCGCCCGCTGCATCTCCTCCGCCTGGCGAATCCGGAAGTCCCGCAGCTTACTCAGCCGTTCCGCATCGACATACACGTACTCCCCCAGCTGGGTACTATACTGCTGCACCAATAAGCCCTGCTGGATGCCACTAAACAACTGCTTCTCCACCGTCTCCACCGCTATCCCCGGTAACCCCTGCAGGATGCACCGGATAGTGGAGTGCCGGTTGCCGTCCTGCAGCAGCGCCAGGATGCCGCGCAGATCCACTGGATCGGGCTGCACCCGCGGACTGGCTTTCAGGAATTTCGTGGAGGAGTTGGAGCGCTTGAACGGTACGGGCGAGACACGCGGCATGATGAGGAAACTTAAATCACTGTTTAGACATTATTCAATCACAAGAAAGATCCCCACAATTAATCAGAAAGGAAGGATGAGAATGAGAACCGGGAAGTAGCGATAAGCGATTATTCCCTGAACTGTATAACATTAGACTAATCTGCGTTTTTGCATCGGAAAGTTTGGATGCATGTTTAAGCATGCATGCGGCCTGCGCTGCTGTGCGTCAGCCTGTGTGAATAACCGCAAAGTATGCCGGTGATTCAGGGTCAGCGGTGGGCCGGCCCTGCTATGCAGATGCCGTGCCGCCGCCAATGGGATTTAGCGGATTATGTACAGCTGATGGATTTAACCAATGGGTGTGGTCGTACTTGAGATTGTGGGCAGGCGAGACGTACGGTCGGTGCAAGCACATGGCTGGTTGTTATCAGCGTACTGTACTATGGCGTGCGATCAAAGAGAAAGATAAGAGAGATGCCGTCAAGCGTCAAGCGTCAAGTACTGTGTTGTCGAGTCTATGGAATCGTTTTCTATGGAACATTAATTACTGTACAGTGTACAGTTGATTGAGAGTTTTTGAGACAATGGAATGTGAACTGATTAGAGCAGCATGCTTCCAGCACCAGGTTGCAGTATGTATAAGTCAAAGATGAAATTAACAACATATTATTATAAATTCGCCAAATATAAAATAACAAATAAATTTGCCGCAAAGCAGGTTTTGATGCAGGATCATGAAGCGATGCAGTATAAAAAAAAGTAACTGCAGCCGCGATGGTTGTGTGCCGCCGCCAATTTGACGAATTTTTCTGCATTGTGTCCGAAAGTTTACAGTTGAAATTGGATTATTTCTGTTATTTTATTTCCTCAGTTTATTTCCCTACTGACTTACAACACTCTACTCCAACTCATAAATAAAAAAAATGAAATGGCGAAATTCAGAAATGAATTAGTACTATTCATTTATTAAAGGATGCATTGTTACTCAATTATTATCAGTTTTTAGAACGGTGATTTCAACAAATTATTTACGATTAAACCAATATCGATCTGCGCACATGATCGGCATTTTTAATTTTTTTTAAAGCAACTTCCGTTCGTATTGCAACCACAAAACCTGGAAAGCGCACAAAACCTGGAAAGCGCAAAAACATCCACCCACCAAGTTCAACAAAAAAAAATTCTAAAACCAAACCAAAAAACCCGAACAATCAATCAAATTTAAAAATAACTAACAAACCGAACCTGCCCAAAACCAACATAATTTTAAAAATATAAATCGAGCAAAAAAAAATGTTATGAGCATTCAAAAAACCTCATTCTCACACAAGACGCGAAAAATTAAATAAAATCCAATTAATTCCGCAAGTACTTCATATGATGCTGGATGTGCTCCCCGATGAACGTGGAGATGAAATAATATCCATGATCGTATCCCTCGTGCTCGCGATACTGCACCGCCAAGCCGGCGCCCCGCGCCGCCTCCGCGAAGCGGTCGCCCATTAAATCCTGGAAGAAATCGTCGGCCTTTCCCTGATCAATCAGGATCTCCACTTTGTCGCCTTTGTAGTTTTTCACCACTTCCGTCGCGTCGTACGCCCGCCAGGCCGCTTCATCCCGGCCCAAATAGCCGTCGAAGCATTTGATCCCGAATTTCGACCGGGACGCGTTGGCGATGGGCGCGAATGCCGAGACGGAGCGGTACTGGCCGGGGTTCTTTAAAAAGGCGATGAGGGCGCCGTGTCCGCCCATGCTGTGCCCGAAGATGGACTGGCGGGATGCGTCCACCGGGAAATGCTGGGTGATCAGTTGTGGCAGCTGGAAATAAGCAGGCAGTAAATATTTATTGTCCACAATTCAACGAAAATTATTTTTTTTTTCTAGAAAATTAGTCCCGCATATTTTCCAGATTTTTCTTCAGCAAAAGCAGACAAATTACCGAAGCAAAGTGATTTTTTCATTTTTTTGGTTTATTAAATTATTCTACTAAACTGCTGGATTCAGTTAAATAAATTCAGAATAAAATAAATTAAATACGTTTAGTAAAATAAATGGGGAAATCTGTGAATAAAACTGTTATTACGAGTACTTTACTTATAATATCTGTAACTTTATTTTTTAAAAACCGAATATTTTAGAAACTAAACTCCAGGAATGTGAAAACAGTTCAAAACACGTAACTGCGGATCAACAAGAAATCCAAAATTAACTGCTGAATCTACAAAATTATTTTAAATGTTTTTGACTTCCTAAAAATAATATGATACGGATGATTTTCGGTGCACAATTTCTAAATACTTGTTCAATTTTTAAATATTAGAATAAGCAGGAAAATGTCTGCTTACTTCTTTCGTAATGTAGGAATACATGCGATAATTATTTTTCCATTTATCCTCCGTGGCATCCACATAAAATCCCGCACCCGTACCGAAATCCCATGAATCATCTTCGCCCTCGATATTGCAGCCGCCTACAGCAGAAGAAAAAAATGTCTGACAAAATGAGAAATCCCCTCCAGCCAAATGCACGCGTCAGCTGCGGAAGCCGGTCTTTAAAATTAAAAAGTACGAACAAAAATCACCGTTGAATCAAACTAAGCGCAAGCAGCCTGGTCGCTGTAGCCGCGTTACTGTTCATACATGCGTTAGACAGCGAGGCAGCCTTGGCGCGCCAACATTTATTCTAGAAAATGCTAAAATCCGAACAAAATTTTTTGCAGTTTTCTTTACTTACGAGGACTGGTATCCGGGCCGACAATGACGACTTTAGCTTCAGCAGCGTACCGCTGCACTCCGGATTTCGTGATGAAATTCTGCTCGGTACAGGTCAGCCCCGACAACCAGTACAGTACGGGGAACTTCTCATCCGGGCTGGATTGCGGGGGAATGTAGATGGAGAATGTCATGCTGCATTTCGTCTCCGAGCTGCAAACAATCATCGCTGACTGCTCGGTTCGAAGAAAGACTCAGTGCACCCCATGATGATTTTGCAATTTGCACCATCGCGTAACGAGCAGAACTCTGCAGCAGCACGGTAACATGAACAACATCACCAACCTCGGATGTTTGAAGACTTTCTGAAATCCACCGAAGCACTTGGAATTCGATATCTGTTCCATCCTGATGAAAACACCAGTTCACTGTGAAACTGTGAACGCTTTTCCTAATAAAGGGGTACGGTGATGAATCGGCTGATTTCTCCAGATCGATGAAAGAGCCAAAAGCAGAAGAATTAAAGGCTAAAGCTAATTCCAAACCCTTGTTAGCAACTGAAAAGTTGAAAATTTTTTATATCTTTACCAAAAATCAAAATTAGAAAATGTGTAAGAGATTGAAAGCTCGTAGACGTACAGTAAACTGCCAACCGCCCTGCCCTGCCAGTCGGTAGTAGTGGTCAACGCGTTCCTCACTAGTGCGGGAACATCGCGATGATTGGCTGTGAAAGCCTGCGATTACAACCAATAGAAATTGTGCAACACAACGTACTGTATTAAACTTTAGTAGCACCTAATTAGTAGCACCTAGACACTATGTGCTGTATTTTAAAACGGTAGTGTGAGTGCTACACATTAGGTGCTACTAAATGTTTGAATACAGCACAGTCAGTTATGTCTAGGTGCCACTAATTAGGTGCTACTAAATGTTTGAATACAGCACAGTCAGTTATGTCTAGGTGCCACTAATTAGGTGCTACTAAATGTTTGAATACAGCACAGTCAGTTATGTCTAGGTGCCACTGATTAGGTGCTACTAAAGTTATGATACAGTACGTTGTATTGCACAATTTCTATTGGTTAAGATCACAGCCAATCATCGCGATGTTCCCGCACTGGTGAGGAACGCGTGTAGAACGCGACTCTATTTCTCTGCCTGGACGTTGACTACGTTTGATACGTCTTGTGATTGTCGCAATCATTTCCGGCATAAACCGCAAATGGCGCAAAAGCAGTTCGTGCATTTCTTGAATTGATTGTGTTGTTATTTCACTCAAACATGAAAGAGTTTTTACTGTACTCGTCAACGAGACTTTCTAATAAACTGTATTATGATGCGGGATCGATTGGCGAGAATCGGCTGTGGTGCTGTATTCAGTTTTCAATTTCGGTTGAGTCTAGTACGCAGTACTTCCGCAATCCATGTACGAATGTAAATTATTGTAATATATAGACAATATAAGTAAGTAATATGTAAATCATGAACTATGTGAGTTTGTAAGTTTATAAATAATACTTAATTAAGTTTGTCTTTCAGTACACGGTAAATGATTCTGCACATGTGTTTCGGCTAGTATCCACAGTATCCCTCTCTACCCCATGCACAGTATTCGATCTCTACGTATCTCTACGTATCCTTAAGGATACGTAGAGATCGGAGAAAATCTGGAGGATACATGAATTCATGTATCCTGCAGATTTTCTCCTTTTTTTAATCACTGACGCATCCCGGCCACAGTACTACTCGTAGCTCTGCCGTATTCTTTACGTACCCGGAATTTATTCCTTTAATACACATAAGGATACTATCCGGATACTTGAGAGATACTGCACGGAAAACCGAATGAACACGTGAAGATACGTTGGGATACTGCAGTTGTTAATAATAACCCTCAAAGCGAGGATACGTAGGGTAGAGGATACTGTGTGATACCGTGGCATATTGTGGCTTTCGAATTAGGTGATGCAGTGGTATAAACGCATGCAAACACCACATTAGTATTCTGCACGCACTGCGATTTGCGAGCATTCTTTTTAGCTAGCGCATCCCGCAGTATCCTCACAGGATGCTTCGTATATCCTCCGTGTATCCTGTTAATTTTTTTCGGTTTTCTTAAGTTTCTTAGGATGCTTAGAGGGATACAATTGGGTTACGTGTAAGATATTGCAGAGAGCGGAAGGATACGGCAATAAGCCAAAATGAGTAAAACAATTACAATTGTAGAGATACATTAGCGATAGTGGGGCCTTGGAGGATACCGTGGTACACGACAGGATACTACGGATGCAAGTTAAAAAAAAAACATGCCTCGCAAAATTTAACGTGTAAGAAGTCGTCCATATCTAAAGTTTGTAGCTATCTGTACAAGCTGACAACCATGTGCAAGCAACACGTAATGACGTTGGCTCGGTATAATGTGTGAAAGTTGTTTATACTGGAAAAAATACTGTAAGCAAAATTTGACGATGAGACCAACGCCGTAACCACCCGGCAACATGGTCTTCCGGTAAAACTGTCAGACTGATCAATGCAATTAAATTTTAATCTGCCAAGAAGATCATTATTTCGTTACAATATGCGGTGCGTTACCTTTCGAATTACGCACATCGTTCACTAATACATGTACGCATTAGTGGTATCCTTTAGTCCGACGTAATTTAGTCCAACGTGGTGTAGCGTCGACTTTGACTTCATTATACAGCAGTAAAGTCATAATACCACGCACACCAGATCGGCAAACTAAAACAGCAAAATAAGAAAACACAAGTGGGACTGTTTTGCATTGCACAGGGTGAAGCGTAGCCTTGTGTTAGTTTACAAACTTGTTTTCCTCCGTATCCCCCCGGGAGATTGTTTTGTCTTACTGTATGAGCAAGTTTCTGTGCGCTGTGTTTCAGGAAATAAGCATTAAGCAATAAAACAAGGCAACTATTTGCGCATCCCTTCCTTATTATGGCGGCACCAAAACTATTATGCGGAAGAAACTTTTTTTCTGCGCGACGTCTCCAGACTCTCTACCTTCTTTCCCGAACTCCCTTGCAAGTCGCTTGCCACTTTTATGGAAAGAAATTACTCTGGACAAGGAAAATTATGTATCGCTCAATGCGTTTCCGACTGCGCTGAATACCGTTAATTGGGGCAAACTGAATGTTGATAAGCCTTTTGTAAGTTGTAACACTACCCGAGTAGCTGCTTGTAATCTGTATATCAATACATGACGTAGTATGATAACCTTCAGTGCGTTCCGTGTGTTTGATGACCTGCCTTTCTTTCAACATTTTTAGATTTGGTTCAGCTTACACTTTTCTCAGTCTTCCGTTTTGGCAGTTTACTGTGATGTTAGGCTCTGTTTGGAGTTTTGTCAAGTCACTCAAGTGCCCAAAGGGGACTTTTCTGTCCCGCATAAGACAGAAAATAAATTAAACAAATCAAATCGGGACAACAAAAAAACCAGAAAACGAGTTAACTTAAAAAGCTGAGTCAGCAAGAGCTAATCGTAGCATACGAATCAGATTTTAAATAATCACGCGCCGGCGCATCATGCATGTTGATGTAACTGCTCTAAAAAGCAGGATAACGTGTTAAACAGTATTGCCAAATTATCGGTTGCGCCACTTACAATCGCAGAACGTAAGAATCTGGAGTTCGGTACAACGCAATTCGGTCTGGAAGCGCGAAGCATAGGCATCACACAGCGAATAGTTCATTGATCGCATAGATGGCCAGTTTGCTCAGCGTGCTCACATCTACCAGCCGCAGGTCCACGTCTTCCCACGTTCGCGGACTGCCATCTGCATTGAAACAGCTGAATCTACAACAAATGAGAGAAGGTCACATTGGGCAATTTTAACTGCTATTGGAACTCATGGAACCAGTGGTCAAGCTTCCTGACAGCAGCTGGCTAGCAAATATTATTAAGCCTGCTTACACTCGGAGATATAGTTGCATAACTGTCCAATCGTGCGGATACTCAATACTGCGCACCCAGCGGGCATACACAGCCGTGACCTTCGCTAGCATTTCCTCCGTGACTGGCGGGAAGGCGTCGTTGATGGCACACATGAAGCGACTGGTCATGCGCATTTTGCCGTCGTTGCAATTGAGAATGAGTCGAGGAATTCGGATCTGCAGTTTATCAATGCCCAGCTCGTGTGACTCGAAAGGGAGGTCTTTCAAGAATTTCCGCTCGTGTGCCGGCAAGAGATCCGCCATACAATGGTAAATCGACTGATCTCGGTCAAGCATTAGGATTGTTGGGAAGCCAAAGAGGCCGGCCACTTTCCAGTTATGCAGCACCAAGAATTCGCATTGGTGTTGGTAGAACAGGAATTCCTGTGCTACTCCGTACTTCGGCCGGTAATCCTTCTGTTTCGCCATGCTTACCGGTTTGCAGATGGTCTGGTCTTTGAAGACGATGCAAGGCAGTCGGATCTCCATTAGTCTTAGCAACGTTGCTATATTTACACTGATGGGTAGAGCGTTGAGAAGGGTGACGCTTATCGTGGTCGGGGTAATGGAACGGCTGAACAGCGTTCCCACTATATAGCAGTTGTTGAGGTCCACATGCGTTCCCAGTATACAGCAGTTGCTGATGTCCATATGCAGCTGGCAACAGCTTTCCATGTCGATGCTGATGTGGTCCGCCATGCGTGGACTGCTCAACAGCAACTGCCACAGAGCGCACACCCTGTGGAAGAGACACGCTGTTAGGCGACAGCAACGCGAGCTACCACTACAGCTCTGCAGTCTGCAACTCAAATCCCACTAAGCAATTAAGATAGATAAGTGTACGCCTGAACGGGCCCTTATACTTCCGCTACTGCGGGAGAAATTGCTGTGCGATTCTCAGTTTATTAATTTAGCGGACCATCAAATCCGAAAAAAGCTTTCCGGGCTTTATGGGTAGATTAAGTTCATCTCGGCACATCATTGGTCCCGTGAGTGGGCTAATAATGACCTCTGTTTAGCTCTTTTACCAAAAATAAGCTCTTACCGTTTGGCCTTCATTTGAGAGGACAGGTCCAGATAAGCAAAAAGTTCGCTCAACAGCCAAGGCGTCAGATGACCGATGCGTGCCGGTGCATAATTAAATTCGCTGTCCTGATCTGCGCAAAGATTTCATTAGAGCAGACGGTTTGCTAAATTCTGAATACATTGCGAAGATTACGCTAAAATTTTTACATTTTTAGGTACTGTTAATCAGCTGATAACTAGAGAAGTAAGTGCACCGCTTCAGCCTCGCACTATAAGACCGAAGCGAATCCAGAAACGGCTGCACAGGTTTAAGTACATATATCGCTACCATGAAGCGATCAGGCAAATTATTAATAAATTAACGTTTTAATTTATTTATATTATTCGAAAATAACTTCATTTTAAATATGAATTATTATGACTTGACCGACGCGACAAAAAGTCCCGCTTTCTTGAACATCCTACATAAGGGACCTTCGATTCGGTCGATTAAAGACAGCTTTTATTGAACTGCACGTGTACTGATGCCAACCACTTTCTCTTGCCTCTGCAGTTGTAGCAACACAAAACAATGCGAGGAATCCATACAGTAATTAGAAATTTGCAATGCCGAAAGGTTCAGGTATTCAATTAATAAGCCTTCGT